TCCAAGTTCTAGTTTCGAGAAATCTGTAGTCAATCAACGTGCAGCTATTCCATAAAAGCTGCAAGCTGCTTGGCTACACGTTTCTTGAAACTAGAACTTGGACCAAGTTCTAGCATCGTGGACATTGGTCTTAAGAAGAGACTGAGAATCAATTAACCTTCAGTTAGCCAACCGACGTTTGTGAAACTAGCCCCAGGAGTTTGTCAGAGCGTGGCCTGTTCTTGGGATTTCACGCTTTCGTGCATCGGGCTTTGTCAGGACCGGTTCCACAAATGTCCGTTAACTGCTGACCGAAAGTTAATTGATCCTCTGTCTCTTCTTAGATAACTGGTTAGAAAAAGGTTGGGAGTCGACTGAACATTCTCGTTAACCAGAGTTCAGTCAACTTTCTATCCTTTTCTATTTTATTGTCTAAAACGAGGCAAAGAATCAGTCAACCTTCGGTCAGCAGTTAACCGACGTTTGCAAAACTGGCCCTGGTCGAGGCGATTTTGACGAGCACATCTCCGTTTATTACAGTTGCAGCGGCTCAGAGCAAAGTTGCAGGAGGACGAACAACGGGGGACACTCACGGACACGTTCGGACGCAGGCACACGTATCTCAGGATTTCCCTCACGGAGCGTTGCAACCTTCGCTGTGAGTCTTCCTCAAGATACCGCGCAAGGTCCCAGATAGCCAGTGTGCTCGAGCAATGTATGGAAATAAAAAGCCAGCGACTGACGCTGGGCTCTTCGCTAGGAATATGAATTCAATGTTTGAGTAACATCAAGAATCTTTTGACGCCAGCAGATAAATAACCGTGATTGAGCAGTTGATCGTTCGCGACTGGCTCTGTGTTTTTTCCTTTTTATATGCCTCGGTGGTCGAATTGGTTGAGACGTTCGTCTAGAGTGAAGGGAGGTCCAGGTTCAAACCTAATACAATATTTTTCTGTGTTAAAAAACACGTAGCCAGTCATGGTCGGTCAACTGCTTAATCATCGATGTTCGAGTGATTTAAGTATAGCTAGCATGATGTTAACATGTTGTCGTAGTTAAGCGCAGCTAAGGAGAACGCATCGAGTGAGCACACGTTAACAAAGACTTCCCAAGCAACACGTGTGTCTAAAGGACGACTTGAAGATGTCTCGTAAGGCACACATTGTTTTCAATTTTCTAAGATATAAACGCATTATATCTGTTACATCTGGCAAAGTACTTAATACTAGCACGTTTGGCTCATGCAAATGTTTCATTTCCGACGTCAAATGCTAGCAAACAACAGCACAATGGACGACAAGACGCATAGCAAGATGCCAACATTTGCGTTAGCAATATGAAAGCAACTTGTGCTCACACTGGCTGTCTGGGGTATTGCACGAGAGCTCGCTTGAATTTGACGACCATTGGATGGATATATTTGAGGCTGAAACGGAATAAACGCATCAAAGAGATGTGTTTTGAAGCGGATGACTTTATATTTGCGAAAATATCTTTAATTCAATTGCCTACACATTAGCGAACAAGTGAAGCTTAGACCCGGTTTCGCCAACGCCGCTGAACTTTAAGCTTAGCTTAGGTCATCCTTCGTCTTTTTCCAACTGTTCCCTTGGAAAGGAACCAACCATGAATTAAACTGAGATTAACGTCAAGCGACGTTGGCGAACCGAACTTTAACCATCTGCCTCGCCACAACTTTTGGGCCTATCGTGGCACGAAATGTCATGCTTTTTGCCGTTGCAGGTACATATTGCATGCCCGCGGAGGGTGTCAAGTTGACCAAGAAAGAAGGTATTCTAAGAACAGAAGAGATCATACAAATAGCCGATCTTTTCGTCAAAGAAGGCGTGCGCAAGATACGTTTGACCGGTGGCGAGCCCACGGTTCGTAAGGACATCGTTGATATCGTCGGTAAAGCCCGTCAATTTTAAACTGCGATTAATTGATTTAACATCGCAAGGCCGTTTCAATTTTCCAAATCTGTTCGCGTATGATTTCTCATTCCAGGCGAGCTGAAGCAACTGAAAGATCTGGAGCAGGTTGCGATCACAACCAACGGGTTGACTTTAACGCGTCAGTTGCCGGCTCTTCAGAAGGCGGGATTGGACGCGCTCAACATATCGCTGGACACTCTGAAAGAGGAGCGCTTCGAGCTGTTCACACGCAGGAAGGGCTGGGCAAGAGTTATGGCCTCCATAGACATCGCCGTTCAGCTTGGCTATAATCCCGTCAAGGTAACTTGGTAAAAGGTTACAAATTTTACAAATGTAAGTTGTACACAGCGGTGCCTCATGCAATCTCCTTTTTGTCTCGACGATTAGGTCAACTGCGTGATAATGCGAGGACGCAACGACGACGAGATAATCGACTTTATCGACTTCACGAGGGACCGGCCTATCGACGTACGTTTCATCGAGTACATGCCGTTTCAAGGAAACGAGTGGAAGGAAAATAAGATGGTGCCCTTCGACGAGATGAAAGCGATAATCCGAGAGAAGTATCCCGACTTCCGAGCTCTGCCGAATCAGCCCAGCGACACGTCCAAGGCCTATCGTGTGCCGGGATTCGTGGGGCAGGTCGGATTCATCACGTCCATGAGTCAACACTTCTGCGACTCGTGTAATCGCCTGAGAATAACGGCGGACGGCAATTTGAAGGTGTGCCTGTTCGAAGGGAAGGGCGAGGTCTCGCTTCGAGACGCCTTGCGAAGTGGAGCTTCCGAGGATGCGCTTAGGGATTTGATAAGAGGCGCGGTATCCCGGAAGAAGAAGCAGCACGCAGGTATGCTGGATTATCGATCGAGGAAAGAACGCGCGGTATTTCACGTTAAACTTTTCAACTCGTTTATTAAAAGACCTTGGTAAAACATTTTTAATTATTTAAACATTTTCGTACTTCTTTTTGCTCTCTTTCGACGTTTTTTCCTCCGTTATCTCCGTTTTACTCTACGTAAACTGTAGCAGTGTCGACAAACCGATCACGTTTACATCTGCCGTCACACGTGTGTTTCAGGGATGTTCAATCTTACTCAGATGGAAAATAGGCCAATGATTCTGATTGGAGGTTAATTAATCGTTATGATAATTAACCAACTGTATTAAAATACGCTCGGCTTTGTCGAAACGCGCACAGACATTATCGCGAATTTTCCAATTCCTATCGTCGACGTAGCGCGTCAGCGCATTTTAGGACTAATTTTACAACGTATTTACGTTGCAGCAAACCGTAAGGGGAAACTTATTTGCGAAATGAGTAACGCCACGTCGATGCAGTACAAATATTTCCCATATATTCCCAAGTACCTTAAATCAAGTATTAGAGCATACTCATCGTTGTCGCACGTAGACGAGACCGGTAAAGCGAGTATGGTGGATGTCGGGTGGAAAAGCGACAGTAAGCGCGTGGCAATAGCGAGGGGATGCGTGAGGATAGGCCCCGTCGTCAGTAATCTGATCGCGGAAAATAATGTAAAGAAGGGCGATGTGTTGTCGGTGGCTCAACTGGCCGGTATTATGGCAGCGAAGCGCACCTCTGACCTCATACCCCTGTGTCATCCGCTCTCGTTGTCCTACGTCAACGTGCGCTTAACACTGAACGAGGAATCGCACGAGGTCGAGATCACATCGGAGGTCAGGTGTACCGGCAAGACCGGCGTCGAAATGGAAGCTTTAACCGCGGTAAGCGTAGCGGCTCTGACGATCTACGACATGTGCAAGTACGCGGCCAGGCCCGGCGCGATGCGGATACACGGTATAGAATTGGTGTCGAAAACGGGCGGTACAAAGGGCGACTTTGCGATAAGCGAAGCGTAGATGATATCTTTGTCCTGTCGACTGCGCGGATCGTGTCGACGGAATAAAGATTCATCCTGCCATGGTGATAATTAAATGACACACACAGTACAAGATTCCAAAAGGCTCAAATATGTTTAAAGGAAAGAAGTTTGAAAGATTGTTGATGCGTTTAGATTATCCATTTTTAAGATTTTACATGGTAAGGGGGCAATTATATTTTACACACATATATAGCGTATAATACTTTTATATACGTGTGTGTGTATCATATATATATATATATATATATAAAATATCAGCGATGAAAGCAATACTAAGTGCTGCATAGTTATTAATTTTTAATTCGAAATGTATGTCCAGCCTCTAACTATTTTTGTATTTGTACAGAGGAAAGTCCTCTATTGTGAGACAGCAGGTTTTCAACACCCAAATTCAATTACAAATCTAACAGTGAATTTTCCGTTAAACAGATTTCGCTCCAGGAGCAATAAATTCACGATGGAATCAGCCGACGATGCCTGTTAATTTCACAGAAACCCCGCTGTCCCATATTAAGATTCTATCTCATAATAGGAGACCTTCCTCTATATTAATTAGGGTAAAGATAGGCCATAATAATGAAAACCATGACCATTCCAATGCCTCAACGGGACATTCGAGCTCTTCCTATTTTTTTTTACACGCCCATACAGCACCGAAAGATTGCAGAAACATTGCGTACACCTTTCACTGCAACATTGTGACATTGCGTGGAGCTTGCGAAATGTTTCAGCAACGTTGTTGCAAGCCTGAAGCAACATTGAAGTGTCCTCCCTCAGACGTATTACAATGTAACATTGCAGTAATGGCGCGGTGCAATGTATTTGTAATATTGATTTCATTATACGTCATTTATATAAATACGCAGGATGCTTATGATTTTAATAGGTTGTTCGGAAAGTTTGTTTTAAATTTCCTATATATGTATTTATAATAGATAGGAAATTTGAAACAAACTTTCCGAACAACCTAACAAATAAAATTTGCGAATGTAAAGACACCCAAGAGATATGTAAGAAAAAATTTCAACAATTTTTCTTATCGCTTTTAGATGCCTATTATATTGTATATTCTCAAACTTCATCTATTAAAATCTGAAGTACCCTACCATGTAGTAATATCGGAAATCACGAGACTATTAGGCGTTGCTATACATGCTATTAGGCTGCGTTTGGAATACATGAGAAATAATATAAATTTGAAAAATCCAAATAATATAATACGTTACAGATATATTTTGCAAACTTTATAATATTTCTACAAGGTTACTGAAACGTTGTTGGCGAAATGTTACAATTGAATGTCTCCGAACCGTCTGTGCAATATTACATTGTAATTTGCAATGTTTCTGAAATGTTTCTGAAAGCTTTGGTGCTGTATGGGCGTTGAAAGATCTTTGTAAATAACGCAAGGTCTTGAATGCAAGTGGAAAGAATCTTAGCGAAACAATTAATATATCGATAATCACGGAAGAAGTTACGAGTTAAGTGATGTGTTGACCACTGTGTGTCAATCATCATTTCATCTGCTAGGCAGATATACGTGAATAGAAGGTGCGTGTAAGTTTAAACAGACATGTATGCGTTTGTTCGAACGAAAATTAGAATTGTCTGATCATCTGGAAAAAGTGTCGCTGCGATTGTACGCGAGACGTTAGGAAACCATGTAAAAACATTCGTGCGCATTGTGAGGATTTTCCGAGGAAAAACTAGAAGCGGAGCGCAATAACGGAAATCGCACTGTTGTACCTTCCGACTTTCGCCATTTAGTAAGCACTTAATATAATTCGCGGGGACGAGAGCGCCCGTTGGGGGAAGCACAAAGGGCGGTGGTAAACGGATCTTGCCAAGAGTTATCCTACATTACGAGTCACAAATGATTCATATTGTATTTTTTTGTTAAGAATATTGTTACGTTGTTGAGAGATTCTATCGCAATATATTGTTTAATATAGAAGCGAGAGAGGAGCTTCCTTGCGGCGCGTACACTCGGCCCGTCCCTTTATTTCCTTATTTATGCGCGGGGGAGATTGCCTTAGAAAAATAGCGAATGCGCCGTAAATCGTTTTATCCGCGAGCGCTTTGCGGATAGAGAAGATAAGACGGATATAGAAGCCCCCGCCGCGCCACGGGGTGAGAGATCGGTGTGTGTACGCGCGTCGATCGTCCCGGTAAATCGTGATAACGTACGGCCGCGTTGTCGCGCGCGGCCGCGCCGGGATAAATACGTCTCGCCGGCGTAAGGGAGATCGCGCGTCCGGCGGAGGACCTTTCGGCGCAATCGCACGTGCCCCGACGGAGCGGGCCGCACGGCGCCACCGTGCCAGGATCTCCGAGCTTTTTCCCATCCCCCGCGAGGAGCGAAACTCAGTGTTCGGCCCGCAACCGTGTCGCACCGCCCCCGGCCGCTTCGACGCTCCGTGCGATCGCGGTCGCGCGTCGCGTGGAGATCGTGAGAGGACGAGAGAGCGTGCTGTCGCTGGAGCGATCGCTCGCGAGGATCGCCGTGCGATCTCGTCCGATGCAATGTTTAGCCGTCGTGATTTCGGATAATTAAATTGTAATAAAAAAGCGCGAGGGAGATTATGCTCGGAGCGGTTTTCCGGTACCGCGAGACAAGCGGAAACGATCTCGGCTCGCGGTAAGGCGGCGAGCGAGGGCACGCGGGCGCGAGCAGCAGTGATTACGGGCATTATGCCAACGATCGGCGTGATCCCGCGGGTGTTTGACGAAGGGCCGCGAATAGAGAGCGATCGGTTGGATCGGACGGTGGTGGGTAGGTCGCAGTCGGGCGCGGAGCGGCGCGTCAATTAGATCGAGAGATGTGCGCCGAGTGAAAGATGGCCCCGTTCCACGGCATGGCCCTGCTGCTCCTGGGAATCGGATACCTGTTACACGCGGAACCACTTCACACCGAGCGCGGCATCGGTAAATGTCCCGTGTTTCCTCCCCGCCCCACGTCCCCGCTTCCGGTCCCGGCACCCTTTTGTATTCGCGGCTGTGCCGCCGCCTCACGTAATTTCAGTCGCATCGCCCTCGGGTAATTTCGGTCGCGCGAGATAGAGAGAGAGAGAGAGCGGCGTGAATGATTTTTATTATCAAATTCGTCCCGCTGCGGCGCGGCGCGAAGAGAATAGAAGGCGCGACGGCGTCGTGACGCGTCGAGGAACGAAATGTTTCCGCGCACCGTTCGCAGTCGGAGATTAGACTCGCGTAACTAGTTGGTGATTCAATAAAAATTCAATTTCGTAAACTTACATTTTTTATGCCGACTTTTTTAATCAAGCACGGCGAAAGAAACTCTTTCGGATTCATTTCTTTATTCAATTACGCCCGGATAGAAGTTTCGCATAGATGAGCTGGGATTTGCTTGACCGATAATTTAATTTTGTGTAATCTTATCCATCTTTTCCGTCTCGCTTTATATCCCGCGGTACAGACGAAAACAGAGGATCAATTAGTCATAATTAGCGTTAATCGAGAATTGTACTTTCGACAGTTATAAAATCTACCGCGCCTTTTTCCCTCGGCAGTTAATACACATGTCTTTTTTGTGCGACTGGGGGAGAAATTCATTAACGCAGCGATTAAAGGATTTGCGCTCTTTAGCGTAAACGGTGCTCGGAAAATAGGGAATAATTAACAACTTGTAAGATTAGATAAACAGAATCGTTAAAATTATGTTAGAGAAAACAGGAATTATAAATGGCTTTGTAATTTCTGTTTCCTCTAACATAATTTCAGTTTGTTTTGTTATCCAAAATAGCACGTTGCAAACTTGTTAAACAACGATATTACCAATTTGTCATTAAATGCAAATCATTGTTTGGATTTTCGAAATTATTTATCTCTTAATATACTGGTTTATTGCCACACGTGCCAAGAGCAACGTGAACTCGTCATTACAAATATATTCGTGTTATTTTACGTTAAATAAAGCTACTCAAATCTCGAAATATCCCATACAGCACGCGTGTCTAAAGAAATCTTTGATTTTCGAAATTACTCTCTTGATAATACAAGTTTTATTGCCATACGTGCCAAGAACAACGTGAACTCGTCATTGCAAATATATTTGTGTTATTTTTCGTTAAATAAAACTATTCAAGTATCGAAATGTGCCACCCATACAGCACCGATTGTTGCAGCAAGCTTCCAGAAAGGTTTCCAAGTCATTTCAACCTTTCATATTTCATGTGTAACAATTCTGAAAGAATTGTGCAATATGTTATATGAAATGTTGTAACGGAAATGTTTCTGAAATCTTCCACGTGAAAATAATTTTTCAAATCTTTAAGTCGAGTTATCTCTGAATAGTTTCACATCAAATATTTTGTAAACCTTTCGGTCGAGCCATTTCCGAAACCTTTCTCATGCAACAGATTTGTAAATTTTCAGCTAATTTATCTCTAAAACAAGTTGATGACTAAGGATTAATTTTTCTAAGCTGTTGTGTGTAATTTGAAGAAAAACCGGAAATAATTATATGATTGATCTATTAGTTAGTTTGCCAAAAGGTTAGAAAAATCGACCATCAAGCCTTAATTGTGTCCGCGATGCTAGAATTCGGTCTGAGAACTCGATCCGAAAACCGTGTAACCAATAAAATTGTCGTTTTTCCCCCCGTAAAAACACACTTGTCCAACCCCAAAGAATCTAATTTCGAAGGCTGCACATATGGCACGATTTGCCTTGTGTCAATATTTGTTTTTTAATTTTATTTTCTATTGTTACAAAGAAATGTCAAATGTTTTTGAAGAATAACTATAATATAATGATAATACAATTATAATATTATAATTATATTATAGTTATTCTTCAAAAACATTTGACATTTCTTTGAAAGGTTTCATCCGAAAATTGAAATATCTCATAAACATTGCGAAATGTTTCAACAACTCTGAGACAGCTCTGGAATAGCAAAATGATATTTCAATTTTCGGATGTAACCTTTCTTAAATATCTCTGAAAGCTTTCTGTGCTGTATGGGCATTTAAGTCTTTATGTATGGTCTTTAAGTCATCTTTTGGACATACGTGTTGTTTGAGCTATCGTAAGAAAGGCAAGCCAAGTTAAACGTTTGCGCAAGATCTGGAATCTTAATTGTAATAAAAAAAAAGGATTATTATATACGGATTCGAGTGCGTGTAAAATAAAGGGCGCATGAATATTTCGTGTCGAAAACGCTTTGGTATCTTTTATCGGAGACTTCCATTTTTTAAGCCGCCATCTGTAATTCTTCCCGGCGGAAGAACGGGGAGAACGTCACCGAGGAGAATAATAGGATGTCAACACGTAGCTTATGTTTATTTCAGCGCTCGTTCATCTCAACGGCGACACGTTCGGCAAAGGGGAGAAGTCGCAGCGCGGCACGAAGAAGACCGCGTCCTTTTCCAAAGACACGTCGCAAAAATTAACGGTGGCCATCGGGCAGACCGCCGTCCTGTTTTGCCGTGTTAAAAACCTCGGAAACAAAACTGTGAGTCTCGCCGCGCGTCCCCGAGTCCCGCTTGATCTCCCATCGATCTCGAAAGTAGCTCGCGTGCCTGCGATAACTTAATGTGCCCGCGCAACCCTTTCGCTGCTGGCAAGTCGAGCGCGTGCTCGCCGAGAACGTTCATTCACAGAGACTCAATGGAGCTTCCCAAAACGGGTTTCTTCGCGCGACGATATTGTCGTGACTCGCCCTAATTTTTTTGGCGGGTAAAAGGTAGAGAGGGTACGTCTTTAAAAAAAAAAACAAGCGAAAGCATCAGCGTTTTCTTATTCATGAACCGGTGCCAAAAAGTCAAAATCGATATTCTTATCGCCCCGAGGCGCCTCCTTTAAAAATGAATCGCCGTTACGACAACTACGCGGTCATAAAAGGGGAAACTTCCTCCTAGGGCTTCCTCAATTTCCCCGGGACCGGCCATTTTTCTAACGTTTCGAAATGCTTGGAACGAAATGCAAATTTTCTTTTCGGACTTGTTAACTACGCCTTTGTATCTCTAAATTCCCTCGGGGTCTCGGCGGAAGATCGACGGAAAACTTCATTATAATGCGAGGTGAGGAACGAGCCGCGCGCGCGGACGGGTTGAATCAGCGACAGAGCAGCAATAGCAGCAGCGGCAGCAGCGAAGGGGTTGAGGGCAAACTGCAATTACCTGCGCCTCATTCGTGGCGCCTCGCGCGCGCCTGTGTGTGTGACCCAGGTGTCTTGGATCCGAAAAAGGGACCTACACATCCTGACGTCCATGTCGGTGACTTACACGAGCGACGCGAGATTTACGGTAGTCGGCAATCCGGAGACCGACGACTGGAATCTGCGAATAGATTACGTGCAACCGCGGGACGCCGGCATTTACGAGTGTCAGGTTAATACAGAACCGAAGATATATAGAGCCGTGGCGCTGAAGGTTTTGGGTGAGTTTCCCTGCGAGGGGGTGCGAGGCGCGCGCGCGCCCGCGCCTCCGCGAACCCCATAAATCGCGCTTAAAGATCTCCCCGGGCGTCTTTCGCGGCCGGCAGGAACCAATTGTTTTAACTTTCCCCCTTCCTCGTCCTCGCTGACCGTCCTATGACGATCACGTTCCGTCTCTCACGCCACAATGACGACGACGACGACGACTTCTCGCTGAGCTTTTCGAAATGAAGTAGAATCCATTTTCCAAGGTAGAATCCGACGCGGATAGTAATGCGATCTCACTCGTTTCTCGAGTGTAATAAAGCCAATCGCGAGAGCGCGGGCGACGCGCTCCGCTTCGATTTTTCACTCTTCTCCTCCTCTCGTCGTTATTGCTGTTTCTATCAGATATACAGGCGAAGATCACGGGTTCCCAGGAGCTATACATCAGGAAGGGCAGCACAATCAGCCTGACCTGCATCATAGAGCTGCAGGATCTGCCCCCGAGCAACGTGACCTGGTACCACGCTGGTGTGGTGATCGATTTCGACGGTCCAAGGTACGGAAATGGCCGACGATTATACCTTTGTGAGACGGACAATTAACTGATGAAATCGCCATTCGAACGGCACTAATATCGCGGTGGGACGGACAATCAAATCTAATCGGCGTGTAATCTCCGCGCCGGCCTCGGAATCACTTGTGCGCGCACGCAAAGCTGCGGGGCGTCGCAAAACCCCATCGGTTTTCAACAGTTCGCGCGGATGATTCTATTCTCGCTCCTCAAGAACCGCTGTTCGCGCCGGTGCGGATATCGCGATTGAATTTTAACGCGGCCGATCGGAAAATTGGATTGACGTCGGGATCGACGAGACGCGATCTCTCGCGTTAGGCGACGAGATAAACCGCGCGCGCGCGTATACGCAAACACATATACGCGCGAATGTGGATTTTGCGCCGGAAACTTTCGCGAGTCGGTTGACGAGAGAGTAACGCTCTTACGTGTTACGTTCGACAGGGGTGGCGTATCGCTGGAGACGGAGAAGGGTAAGGGCGGCACCACCAGCAAGCTCCTAATAACGCGTGCTCAACTTAACGATAGCGGTAATTATACATGCGCTTCGAGCAAAGTCACCCCGGCGAGCGTCATGGTGCACGTGCTGAACGGTGAGCAAAATACCGCTGGCAATATCGAAGGGGTGGTTGCGATGGGCCGGGGGCCGGGGGGGGGGGAGGGGGTGGATTGCGATGGCTCATTTCGAAATTCTGCGCTTCGCGATCGAGCGAGCAGAGGGAGAGGCGTATAGTAATGTACTACATTGCGAAATTACTCCCCGAGCGCGCTTCGCGATAAGGACGCACATTTGTTTTAATTCGCACTCGCAATCTGCTCCCGCGTTTCCCGTGCTTTTCCCCTCCCCCCTCTCTCTCTCTGTGTTTCTCTTTCCGCCCGTTCCATTAATATGTTTGCTATTATAAATATTACTATTTATTATATTAATATTCTTGTTATTATAATATTGCTGTTTGTTATATTAATGTCTGTTGTTATAAATAATGAAGTCTGGATATTAATATATGAATCGGGCATTAATATATGAATCGGGCAACAAATGTTCACACGTTACGTTGAAGCGAGACGCGATCTTCAGTAATGCGATACTCGATAATAGCACGTTCGCTCGCTCAACGATAACTATATTATAATTCTCGACGTTTGGTAACGAGAGAGATGACTCGTCCATCTGTTCTCTGAAAGTCTATCAGTAAATTATTACGGAAAGCAGTGAACAGTCACTGATTTGAAGCTACAATTAGTATACCACTGTGATTTTCAGTGGTACAGAGAAAAGTCGCCTATTATGAGATAGTAGGTTTTCAACGTCCAAAGTCAATGGCAAATCTTTTTTCGCGACGGTCCACTAAACAAATTACACACCGAGGGCAAGAAATTCATGACGCCTATTAATTTAGCAGAAACCCCGCTATCCCATATTAGGAGCCTACCCCACGATAGGGGACTTTCCTGCAAATCAGTAACTACCCTTGAGAAAAAATGCAGTCAAGGGTTATCACTAACTGACGGACAACTGTTCATTGTAACTGATGACAGCACAACCAGTATATTGAAACAATTTTACCAGTTACTCATATAAAAGCTGGTCCTTTATTCAGTTCTATGTTGATCTATAAGTGATAAAATTTCCAGTCTGTTCAGTTTAATGTTGATCAGTAATTGATAAAATTTCCAGTTCTAGTTGAGCCATCGGTCGAGTCACCAGTTGTAGCTGATCAGTCATCCAGTCAGTTAGTGTCCAGTTGTCAGTTCAGTTCCCTCTCATCCCCAGTGAGAAATAATTCGTCGATCGATGTCGAAACGATGTCGAATCGACATCGATACCGTCAAATTGACGTCGATTCGACATCGTTTCGATATCGATCGACGAATCATTTCTCACTGGGTCAGTTCTGGTACACACTTTTATAACAATGTTATTACTATTATTGTTTCTGTAACAGTAACGTAAAGCTGTTACAATTGATCATTGACTGTCACAAACTTACTAATTGAGAAAAAGAACTGATTGGCAGCATCGGTAACTGATATTATTGCATCAGTAACTTGTAGCGTTCTCAGTGACTGATTACAAGAGTCAGTTGCTGGTAATATTCCTTAGTTGATGTCCAGTTTTAATAATCAGTTTCTACATCACTCTGAAAAACTACACTGAAAAAAAAAATCTGGTATAAAATGGACGAATCAGAATTCCTTTTAGGATTTATCGGATTTGTAGTAAAGTCTACCAAACTTCTGGTTATGAAATATCTTTCATGGTAAATCCTAAAGGAATTCTGGTAAATCCTAAAGGGAATTCTGATTCGTCCATTTTCTAACAGACGACTGGTTGAATCTATCAGATTTTTTTTTCAGTGTAGTTACACAGTAATTCTTATCAATACTTAGTTACTGATCAGCACTTAGTTACTGACGATAACAATCATTGTCTATCCAGTTTATCAGAGTGACGTAGAAACTGATCATTAAAACTGGACGTTAACTGAGAAACATTACCAGTAGCTGACTCTCGTAATCAGTCACTGATAGAACGCCCCGAGTTACTGATGCCGCTAATCGGTTCTCTTTCTCAAGGGTATTCACTGTTTTCCGTGATAATCCGCTGATTGACTCTTCGAGAGCGCAAACAATTTTTCTCGCCCGTCTTTCTCGGGCGGCGGCGCCGACGAGCCTTAAAATCCCCGAGGATCCCTCCACGTTTCCTCCGCGCTGCTACTTTGCGACGGGCCGTTAATAAATTTAATGTTCGTTAGCGTGCACCCGAGAAGGATTGACGAGATCGGGACGCGTAAAGATCCCGGGGAGGCGACACAAAAGCGACACCTCAGTCGTCCGGCGTAATTCTCTTTTCCAGGCGAGCATCCCGCCGCGATGCAGCACGGCGGCACCGGCGATGTAAATAGGAGACTCGTCCTGCTCGTCCTGATTTTCCTCGTCGATACCATGTTCCGGTGAGCGACGCGCCGCCAATCTCTTGCGAATTCCTCCCGAATTCGCTTCCCTGAGGCGCTCGCACGGACGCGCGCCCACGGATGGAAAGGGGGTCGATGACACCGTGTTGTCCGGCGTATCATTTTGCAGTACGCGGCCGTTCTTTCTTCCCCTCTCTTGTGGACGTTTCGCGCGCGCGATCGTTAACGTTGCGCGCGTTAACGCTCACTCGGAATCACTTGTTTCACGGATTTTTATCAGCTCGGACCCCTCGAACTCTAAATAACGACTCGCTCAAGTACCCCTGCCCCTGCAGATGTCAGTACGGATGTAACGTGTATGTAATGTAATAAATCTTTTGGAGTTACACAATTTGTGTCCGCTCATTAAATCACCACCACCATCCCTTGGTCATCCGCTGCGACCGAGAGTTTTCTAAAGGTAAGATGTGCCAAGCAAACGCACACACATAAGTCAAGAGGGAGAAAGTGTTAGTCGTACAATCTTCTAGTCTAGATTGAATAATAAATTAATAGAAACTTAATCTCCAATTAACGCACTTTTAATTAGAGACAAAATCAACTGTTCCGACGTCATAGTACGGGGTATAGCTACTACATAAAGAACAGCTGACTCGTCCGCCATCTTGGAGCCCAAACGTTTGACTTTGACAAATGCATTTCGGCACAAGATATGAATTTCTTGTTCTAAATTAATTGTTAATAAAATTCAAATTACGTCTTTGTTTTTGGAAAGCTATATTTTTATTTATTTATATAAAAATTGTGGACAAGAATCAAAGAAATAAAACACAAGAGATGGATGAATTAATTAATTTATTACGGTTTTCTGAAATACAGATTTGGAACCGTAACTTACGGTATTTTTTTATCACAAATTTCAAAATGTTGAATTATCTCGTGGAAAAGAGGCAACTTTAACTGAATGTCTTGACTTAGGAGTGTTGAAAAAAATTTCTAGTATAACATATGAAATGTTTCAATATACTGAGAGTGTTGTTCAAAACAATATGACAGATTTATTGCAAAATTTAGTATCTTTCAAAACTATTATCAATTATGTAAAGGATAAATATGATTCTTTGTTTCCTCAATGTTGTAATATTCTACATTATTTACTTGAACACTATACAACTGTACGAGGTCTAGGAATAAATTTTGAAATTTGTGATTAAAAAAATACCGTAAAGCTACGGTTCCAAATCTGTATTTCAGAAAACCGTAATAAATTAATTCATCAATCTCTTGTGTTTTATTTCTTTGATTCTTATCCACAATTTTTGTGTAAATAAAAATATAGCTTTCCAAAAACAAAAACGTAATTTGGATTTTATTAACAATAAATTTAGAACAAGAAATTCATATCTTGTGCCGAAATGCATTTGTCGAAGTCAAACGTTTGGGCTCCAAGATGGCGGACGAGTCAGCTATCCTTTATCCAGTAGCTGTAGTACGGGGTGGCCATAAGGATTGTGTTGAAAACAAACGGTTATTACTTCGCAACAAGTAGATCGAAGGAAATGAATGAACCGCCATTTTGTAGAGGAAACTTGTCAATTTTATTAACGTACGTATAAAAAAAATATAACGTTTTAATAATTTAAATAGAGCTTATAAAAAAAGAGTAAAAATTTGCTTGCGCGCATAAATTAATGATTTTCAAAATGCCGTCCGTCAGAATCGGCGCAGAACTACAAACGTTTTTGAAAACTTGGAAATACATCAATCAACATGGCTGTAGAAATGTATATTTCGATGTTATGTTTTAGTTCTTCGATGTTTTCGGCTGCTTACCCAGCGGGAAATGATTCGTTGGTCGATGTCGAAACGATGTCGAATCGACGTTCAATTTGACGTTGTCGATGTCGAATCGATATCGTTTCGACATCGATCGATGAATCATTTCTCACTGGGTAGCGTAACATCGATCTTTAAGGTAACCCCAGAGGAATAACACAAGAGTTAAATTTTAAATTATTAAAACATTATATGCAGTTTTTGGTAATAACACTGACAGGTTTCGTCTGCAAAATGGTGGTTGATTAATTTTCCTCGATCTATTTGTTACGAAGTAATAACCATTTACTTTCAACACAATCCTAATGCCTGTGGTATAATGAAGATTGAAAGAGGAAAGTTACGGACACAATTCGCATAATTATGTCCACTCTCTAAAAGTCAATAGAGTTAAAGTAAGACCCCGTAAATAAAACTGAACAAGACATGAGAAAACGCCAATGCGGGTCACAAGGCAAGGGACGCTCGCCTGGAAAATGTGAATTCATATATCGTCTCTTTCCACCTTTGTCCTGCGCGCCGGTTTGTTTTCGGACATAACGTAGTTTTCTTAGGGGTGGAGTTATTCATATTTAAAAAAATTACAAGTACTGGGCCACCTACATCCTGCCTTGTGATCCGCATTGGCGTTTTCTCGTGTGTTGTTTAGCTCTAAAAGTCAATCGGTACGTTATCACTGAAAACAGTTATAAGTATCCCTGGCGAAAATAATATGTTTATCAAAAGTTTATAAAAAGTTTGTTTAAATGTCGAGTCAATGTTTTATTTGAGTTTTAAAACATTTATTGAATCGTTCGCGAGATATGAATTTAAACATGGAGTTGTTTATGACATGTTCACGGTGTTCAAATTGCGTTTAATGATACAATGTCAAACGTTTCCATGATAGTTTCCTAAGTGTTTGTATAATGTTATTGTCAGTAAAGAATTAACTAGGTGTTTGCAACGTACTTCCAAACGGTATAACCATCAATAAAACTCTTCATAAACAATGTAACTATCGATAAAACTCTTTATAAATAAATATAAACATCATCTCTCACTTAAAATTTCCGCCGGGGATAGCGCTGAAAATTTCAGTGCTATCCCTGGCGGAAATTTCAGTGCTATACTAATAACCGTGAATCAGTGAACATTCACTGTTTTTCAGTGATGATCCACTGATTGGCTCTTAAGCTAGCGTCACGCTATGCGCGATTCATGATTCGTACATTCGTAAATAGCGTAGAGAAAACTGGGTCGATTCGCTGCGTGCAACTCGCTATTCGCAGTGATTCGCTATCCGAGCGGTTTTTTCTGACGAAAACAGTGCTCTTTTGACCACTTAAACGTGACTAATTGTAGACTTATGATGCGAGTCCTGTAATAACACGTAAGGGCTAAAAGTTGTCCAAGTTAACACGAATGTAACGACAAACGACAAATTACGAATGCTAAACTGTGAATCACGGATCGCGCATTAGGAATTGCGCATAGCGTGGCGCTAGAGCTTTAGAGAGCAGAGCAGCGACGAGGTGCAATTGTTTCAGGGCTCGGAGTGTAAATCGTGGCGGGAATATGTTGCGAGACCTAACGACCCAATATAAAACCGCGCCGACGCGGGGCATCCTAGCGTTAAGTGCGGGAATTGGAAAAGCATAATCCGTGAAGGCACGCGCGTGACGCGCATTCGCGCCGCTGTTCGCCGGGTCAAAGGGTTAACGCGTTGCCCTTCTTACCACGACGGCGCATCGGAGGATCTCGGAATCGCCGCCGCCCGCGCCGATAATGGAACGGCGGGATCTTTCCGGGAACCACCGCGGTCCGAGCGCCGGGAGAGCTTTCATGGCGCGCGGTTCCTTCCCCGCGGGAGCTGCCGGATCCTGTCCGGTCTCATTTTATGCAAATCGCGCGCGGGGAGCATCTGTTAGACGTCCCGGCGCGCGCCGCGAAGCGTAGTCGCCGTCCGATGCAAATTCATGGCGAACGTAACGTCGATCTCCACCACTCGCTCTATCGCCGAGCCGCGCTCCTTTACTCCCCGGCACGCTCGCAATCTCTTCCCGGGCAGAAGAGCCTGGGCAAGAAGCGTGGCTCTACAGAATGTAAATTGTCCATCCTAGACTCGTACAACATATACGTTTCGCCAAATTTTAAGAGAAAGGAAAACAAATCGAAAAAATGCTGCTACGTGACAGTAGACCCTTAAGAAAAAATGCAGTCACAATTGATAAAAAAAAACTGATCACTAACTGATGGATAACTGATAATTGTAACTAATGAGAGTACAACCAGTATATTGGAACAATTTTATTAGTTACTGATATAAAAACTGGTCATTTGTTCAGTTTTATATTCATCAGTAATTGACAAAACTTCCAGTTCTAGTTAAGCCATCGGTTGAGTCACTAGTTGTAGCTGATCAGTTATCCAGTCAGTTAGTGTCCAGTTGTAAGTTCAGTTCCCTTTCACAAGTTCTGGTAAACATTTTTTATAATAATGTATGTATATTATACAAGTATTTTATTACTATTGTTGTTTGTGTAACAGTAATGTAAAACTGTTACAATTGATTATTGAGACTATCACAAACTTACTAATTGAGAAAAAGAACTGATTAGCAGCATCAGTAACTGATGCTATTAAATCAGTAACTTGTAGCGTTCTCAGTGACTGATTACAAGAGTCAGTTAATAGGGTTGTAAAGCAATTTTTTTTTTAACGGAATTTTAATCTATGTATATGAGTTTATGATACAAATTTTTTCCCCAATTTTTTTTCTCAATTATTTAACAAGTTATGGCTTGTTAAATAATCGGACCCGCGAAGCTGTATTCGAACGTTCCGGAAAGAACCGAACGGTTCGTGACGTCACGATGCGAGCGCCGAATGGAGCCGAAGTTCGGTAGCATATGGTCGCATGGGGAGCGGATGATTTTCGTGGCGTCACGTGACTCGCAGATCTCTCCGTCTCTTTTGAGACACACATAACCTATCGCTTGATCTCCATAGCTTGTTCGAGATGATCTACAAAAATAGGTATAGATTTTCTTTTCATCAGATTAATAATCAAAAAGAAGTATAAAGAAGTAGTCGAACGAAAGGTGAGTTTCATATACTTACGCTGCTAATTTTACATTGCGTACTTCTCCACAGTTAAAGTTGTCACTTTTTTTAATAAAATCTAATATCATAAACATATCAATTCGTGGCAGATTACGTGCATCGGCTTTTACAAAGCCGGATTCAAGTTTATTTGCCATTCTTATACTGATACTCAAGAATCTGTCATGAAGTTGAGGTTGGAAATACACTGAATGAACGCGCGCGCAGACGGGCGCTCGCATCATGACGTCACACCAATAACGTGCCGTTTCAGATCACGTGACTATATTTGAAATTTTTATTGAACTTTAAAGCTCATTTTACAGGAAAATATAATATAAAAAAAATTTTTTTTTGCAATAATTATTATCTATATCAGAGTTGATAAAAATGATAATTATTTTTTTTTTCAAAATTCACTTTACAACCCTATTGTGATGTTCCTCAGTCGATGTTCAGTTTTAATAATCAGTTTCTACGTCACTCTGAAAAACTGGTTACACAGTGATTGTTATCATCGGTAACTAAATGCAGATCAATACTTAGTTACTGATCAGCACTTAGTTACTGACGATAACAATCATTGTCTATCCAGTTTTTCAGAGTCACGCAGAAACTGATCATTAAAATCATTAACTGGACGTTAACTGAGAAACATTACCAGTAGCTGACTCTCGTAATCGGTCACTGATAGAACGCCACAAGTTACCGATTTAATTAACATCATCAGTTACTGATGCTGCTAATCAGTCCTTTGTCTTAAGGGGATATTAAATGACGAAGCGTTATCTGCGACGATCGAAATATCGTCGAACCGTGGCTCCTTTACTCCTCGGCAAGCTGGCGATCTCTTCCCGGGGAGAAGAGCCTGGGCAAGAAGCTCTACAGGATGTAAATTGTCTATCCTAGAGTCGTACAACATACTCTCTAAAAGTCAATCAGTGCGTTGTCACTGAAAAACAGTTGGAAGTATAGCACTGAACGATTCAGTGCTATATTTTCAACTGTGAATCAGTTAACGCTCACCGTTTTCAACGTTGTTCCGCTGATTGACTTTTATAGAGCACAAATTTGTGCGAGCACATCTCGCACAAATTAAAAGCGAAAAAAAGTGCTGCTACGTGACAATGGATATTAAATGACGAAGCGTTATCTGCGGTGATCGGAATATCGTCGAACCGTGCTCCTTAACTCCCCGGCAAGCTCGCGATCTCTTCCCGGGGAGAAGAGCCCGGGCAAGAAGCTCCACGAGGTGTAAATTGTCCACCCTTGACTCGTACAACACACGTTTTTGCCATGTTCAAAGGGAAAGAAAAACAAATGGAAAAATGCTGCCGCGATAATGGATATTAAATGACGAAACGTTATCTGCGGTGATCCAAATGGAAGCGCGGAGAGGTTTTACGCCGAATTGGGAATATCCGTAATACTTTAATGCATGCGGTGCGGTATCCTTTTTTATTTTATAAACTATTGCATGCAATATGAAAATCTGTCGCGTAATAACGAATTTATAGCGAGGGCTGTATACCAATCTCGAAAAAATAAATACGTGTCGGGAAGATTTGGAAAGCATTCTAAATAAAATATTCGGATCGGCGAGGAGGAGCTCCGCCCGCGCGAGTTTGGTAACGCTTCGCAAACTTCGTTTTGCAAATTTTCGTCTTTTGCCACGACAGCGAGGCGAGGGTCTACGAGAGCGAGTTCCATCTCGGCGGGAGAGTTACGTGAGATCGCGCGAGTTAGGTCGGATGATCGAATTTTTGAACGCGCTCGAGCCATCGCCCGTGCGAGTATCGCCCTAATGAACGAGTTTACGCCGTAATCGCGTCAAGCTTTTGAGCGCAAAGCAATTTTCGCGGATATTCTCGCGGAAAATCCCGACGCGCCGGTGGTTCCGCAAAAGCCGCGAAAAACCCACCGCTGCGAGGCCCCGCGTAATTGGTGTTGCGACACCTCTCTATCGTATCTCACCCTGCGTTACGCGCCGGCGCCTTATTACGCGCTCCAGATCTTTGGGCCTGGGAGAGCAAAGGTGGAATAACTACTTGCCGCGAAGGGGGATGCCTGGAGAGAAGAAAGTTCTTCGGTAGTCGGCGTCGAAGTTTAATCAATAACAATGTTTGGCGCTGGTCGCGATCCGCTCTGCGAAATAGGTACGCGAACCGTATAAACCATGCTCGCAGCAAGTTGAATTATTCGCGGAATGCACTATACACGCAAATGCAGGCTTTATTGAGGAGAGAGTTTCGCCTGGTGGTCGAAGCCCTATAAGCAGAGAAACGTATGTGGTGTGTCTGCGGGGCCGTATACAATATAAAAGAATTGGATAGGGGTGGGATGGGGCGCGCGAGACACGTTTATAAAGAGACGGAAGAGAAAATTCATGGCGTGTTCCTTTCGCGTCCGATTCACGGAATCTAGGCTCCGCACATAATAGTCCGCGAGCCATTGCCAAAACTGACACAATGGATCGTCTCGGAGATCTCCGCGCCGGAGAGAGAGATTAGCATTGTGAGCGCGCGAAGCTTAGTCACAAAAATACTTAACGCCTCGAACTGAACAGCTGCGAGAGGAGGATTACGGTCGGATTCAATCTTCTCGCCGAGAAAATATCGATTTCAAATCGGCCGACGAGTACCTGGGCCAGAGCGGCCGATTGAAAACGCCACGAATGGCAATCTTCTAAATCGCGTTAGACAATTTGCTCCTAAAACATCGGTCCGTTTCCGTTAACCACTTAACGATCGATTCACCCATCTGGCAGGGGATGCGAGATGTCGCGTCTCCCCGCGACGCGTACTGATTCTTATCGGGTTTTCGGGAGACAGCGGCGTTATCCGTGGACGTCAAATACGCGGGGAGAGCGAGAGAGGAAAGTTTCGGGGTCTCGAGCGTCTAAGAATTTCGCTAAGAAACTACACAGGGCGGCTGCTGCCGCATTAGATGCTTGTATGGCGCGCGCGCGCGCGCGAGCCGAGTTTTATCGAGTTAGCCAACGAGTTTCTGCGACACGTTCGTGAAAGTTAGCCGCGTAACTGCTGATCGTCCCGGAAATTCTGTCGATTGTTTATCCAATCCTCTTCTGCTTTTACCGAGTCCAGTTAAAAGGAGGGGGAGCAAACAAACGAAAAAAAAAGAATAGGAAAGCAAAATTCCCAACTTTCTCGCTCGTTGAAGCGGGAGCGGCTCATTTGCTTTTATTGCGCCTCTGTATGCACGAGTGGCATGGGCGGCCGCGAAAAAGGTTGCGAGGGAAAATTACAATTAACTTAAAATTATTATACGGCGCCAAAATGAAGCATTGTGAAGTAGTAATGCCGGGGCATCGCCGCCCAACGCCGCGGCACGGCTTTGTAATGGCTTCGGTTTTGATAATCTACGATAATAATGACGTCATTGTAATGCAAATCATAATCACGATGGCATTAATGATTTTATTAGTGGTCGGCGTTCGCGACAACGTAACTCTCGACGCGACGCTTTTTATTCAGGCGCGTTGAAATATCGCGATCGCCGTTCGATATATCGAACCGTTGGGCTGCGATTGTATCGATCGAGATGGAAGATGTCTCGGGGAAAGAGACGCCCCGCGTTTATCTCGGGTGTTCTTAATATTCGTCAGAGCATCTGAATATTGCAGCGATTACTAAATAAATCCCCGGCGAGGTGTTTTCAGCATAGTTGAGCCGAGAGCGTAGGTAAATTTCCTTTAGTTTGTCAAAGGAAGTACTTAACGTTCTACCGTTCAAAGCTTGGCAAAGCTCGAGGGCGTAACTCCTCTTATATCGATCGCGGCGTTTGCAACAAGCGTCGGATAAACGCGGTTCGTTTGTGGCGCGGGATCATCTGCAATTGACAAACCGTGTCGATGCCCAGCCATGCCGAACCCGCTCGATATCGATTTCGATCTTGATACTTAACGGTTCCGTTGAGTCGGACACTCCGAGAGACTTGCAAGAGTGCATGTTACACCGGGGAACGATGCTGCCCAGCACAGAACTCAGCACTATTCTCCTTGTCGTTATGTAAAGTAACGTAACGGTAAGTATCGAAAACAAGGCTCAGGCTCGTGTGAATCAATCGACGCGAACGAATGAAGGGACGAGCGAAAGTGGACGTAAAACAAAAGAATATCTCCAAATTATTTATCGCAACTATAAAATTATAAATGGTACGCGCGTTTCGACTACACAGAGTCATTTCCAGCGATATACCGTTAAATTGGTTGACTCCGTGTAATTTTAGTTACAACAAAATAATGAAAAACATTTTTTTATTTTACGTCTACTGTTGCTCGTGTATCGAGTCTTCCCTTAAAAAGAAAAATGCAGTCAAAACTGATAAAGTAACTGATCACTAACTGATGGATAACTGATCATTGCAACCGATGACAGCATAACCAGTATATTGAAACAATTTTACCAGTTACTGATATAAAAATCGGTCGTTTACTCAGTTTTATATTCATCAGTAATTGATAAAACTTCCAGTTCTAGTTGAGTCACCAGTTATAGCTGATCAGTTATCCAGTCAGTTAGTGTCCAGTTGTCAGTTCAGTTCCCTTCACCAGTTCTGGTACACATTTTTTATAACATTGTATATACAGAGTGTACTATAACCACCGGATATCCTTTTAATAGCAGATTCTTTAGAAAATTTCAAGACGAAAATTCTAATACAAAAATATCGAGGCTATAATAGTTTTTAAATAATAAGCAAGTATATTTCACCAATGATAAGGCCTGGGATTTCGCGCGCTCAGGCACGGCGACATGACGAGTGATAAAAGTGTTCATATGAATGTCGCCTTTTTTGGCACAGTAACGACCTTCATGACAATTGATATTGATCGATCACTTTGACAGCTGCAACACTTAAAAGTTACAACACGTTGCAAATTTTTTCTTGAATTAAATAAGAAGGGCGACATTCATAGCAACACTTGTCATATCGCCGTGCCTGAGCGCGCGAAATCTCAGGCCTGTCATTGGTGAAAAGTACTCGCTTATTACTTGAAAACTATTATAGCCTCGACATTTTCGTATTAGAATTTTTGTCTTGAAATCTCCTAACGAATCTGCGATTAAAAGGATATCCGGTGGTTTTAGTACACCCTGTATATTACACAGGTGTTTTAGTTTAGCGTTAGCGCCATATGCTCAGGTTGAAACAGACCCGGCATTCTGCGGTACGATTTCTCGCGTCGCGAATCAACGCGCCATCGCATACACGGGACAAAAAGATCAAACGTAATAACAATCCAGTGTGACCAGGCGTCGTTTCGTCAAACTTAATTAGTTAACATTTTTTTGGGGGACCGATATCAAACGTTAAAAAATAAAACTCATTCAAAACGGAGCATTTAAATAGCTTCGGTCCCATTTGAACGTCGTAGACCACGCTGGGACGTTTCTGCGGCAGGATTTATCGCGGCGTAGCGCACGTAATTATTTGCCGAAATTGCTCGCGAACTGCGGACGGAGATTGCAATAATTTCCTCCTTTCAACGTCGCGGCTGAAATTCTTTTGATGAGTGTCCTTTGTTCCGCGCCGCCGTTCGCGGTGGTCCCTCCTCTCGTGGACAATTCGTTTACGTCACTTGTCACTGGGGGCTACTTAAAATGAGTAAACACCAGGGTAAACAAGATGCTTCGGTGCCAGTATCAAAAAGTAAATTATGGCAGAGTCTGGTCCAAAGATTGAGCGTAAGATTGCCGACAGATGTTGAGGTAAGCGCGAAACCAAGTTCATTGCAAAAGCAACGAAAAGAAACGTGACGTCAGGTTAGTAATCTCGTAAATGTCACCTATTTTTGGCGAAGACAACACAACGGTTGCGAAATAAATACGCCGAGGGTATAATTCATTTCTCGCGATTGAAAATTTAATCGACAGCCGAAAGCGTCGGTCCCGAAAATAATATTCATGTCGAAGCATCCATCTTATTTTCGTTCCCTGCTTCTTAATGCAATATGTATTTCTGATCGATTCAATATTCTACGAGGCGCAAAAGTGGGCGCTATAAATATTCAAATCAATCAGAACAACTAAGAAATTTATGCGAGGGGAAACCACATTTATATATTTTCCTTCTTTTTTTGCCGAACGTTATATTGAGCGTTACAGAGTATCGCTATGGGATCTGAAATGGTACGTGTTTCTTATTTCCGGACGCAGAGCCAGACCAAGAGAAAAACGCTGTCGAAGCTTTCCATGATTGGTTTCAATGGGGCCGGCATACTCTTTCACAGGCGCGGGGATCGACTTAAGGTACGTTCGCCATCTAGCGCGGCGGAATAAATTGGATGGACGCAAATAAATTGAACGAGCGCGGAAAATGACCGAGTTTTAATACAGAGTCTCGATACGCCTGGAGAATCGTCTCGCTTCGTTCCCGAAATGAGATCTCTTTCAAAAAAACGCAACAATTTTTGGGAGAGACGCGAACCCCGCGATTCCGATTAAGGGGATCCTAAAGCCGCCTGGCGAACTCGATCAGCGTCGATAAGATAGGAGACGGAATTGAAAACGTCAATTATCGACATTTTTAATTCCAAGTTCTACTTGGCCCGAGAAATTTACGGCCAATCAATTTGCAACTTTTACGAAAGAGCAGCAATTTTATAAGCCACGCATTGCCCAGACCGAGATTTTGGATCGAATACTAGCGTCGTCAACGCCAATGGCTTTACTGACAATCCGACAGACGTTTGGCAGCGACCTTTCTCGAAAAAGCCTGCAACTATTTCTACACGTCATACCGCTCTTTTTCTCCTCTTCTGGACTTGGATTTCTGGACTTGCGTTTATTAGAAGTAATCTTTTTTTCTAGGCCATTAATCTTAGTTCTAATTGCACGATATTGTTTTTATATGTTGTCCCTAGAGTATGCTGGTCTCGTTTTGTATACAGGGTGTTACAGAGCGACCGTGTATTTATTGTAGAATTCTTGTATCAAGCAAATATTGTCGTCAAGTGTCATCAAAAGTTAGTAAAATGTTTTATTCTTTCGTTTTTGACATAAAGTCGACCAGCATAGTCTAAATTTTGCCGCGCACTTTAATTCCGTAAAAGAATTTTGCATTTCTATAAAGCCAATTAAAAGATTGCTTCTAACAAAGAATGTCGATAAAACAGACGGCTTTAGGATCCCTTTAACGGTGCCGAAATTCCCCGAGAAGAACGTCGACACTTTGTCCGTCTGCCGCTTCGATATTACGCATTTTACGATTCTTCAACACCACTGGCGTCTCCTTACAATCTGGCGCGGTCGTTTCATTTATTATCGTCGTTGAATCTTTCCGCTGATTTATTGCCGCGTTAAGTCCTATCCCCGTGGACAATATTGGTACAACGTTTCTTGCCGCCTGGCCAGATCCCGAGATACCAGAACACCTTTCGTCTGGAGCCATTTAGGGCTTTTCACGCGGCGACGGTCGACAAGATCGTTCGTGACGTAATGGAGATCAAATTATCGGCGATTACATCATACCAGCCGGATCAGATATCGAAATTGTGTTTGGAAATTGCCAGCGACGTGCTGAGGGCTGTCGGCAAGAAGGATTACGACAGGTATTGAAATTATGGAAATTTATTTCAGATTAAATTCCACCTCTCCGCGCTCATTCCCGTTTCACTTTCCCCGCCGTCTCGCTGTGATCTCTTGTAAAAATTACTAGTATCGTATTCTTCATTCCCTACGTTTCAAAGGACGATATTGGATCGCTGTTGTCCACGTAAATCGAGATGCCTATTCTAATTTATTCCTTTTACGCGTTGGATGAGATACGGGTATTTTTAATTAAAACAAAAAAAATGAACGATACGTGCACGACATAAATAAATATCGACACTTTCGGTCACCGGGCGGGAGTTCAACAGCGATTGTGTATTAAACTTGTAGCAAATTATTAACAGACATCCCGCCTGACAATCGCAATAACGGTATTTATTTATTTGGCGAAACACGACTGCGTTTGCAATTACCTAGGTACAAGATGGTGACGCAGGTATACGTAATCCAGCGCTTCCAACAAAGTATACACGCGGCCTTCCAGTGTCTCTGGGACGTGAATCGCGATAATTACTCGTATCACGTGCTCGAAAACAATCACATATACGCGTGGTGCTGCGTGTTCGGTGTATATTACGATTAAACGCAGCGACGATTCTGAACTAATATCTCGCATTAAGCTCATGTGCAGTCTCATTAGTTTGTAATATCGAAATACACATTGTAACGCTTATACATATTTATCGAGTCATCGTGAAACCAGCATTAGTAATTTCAATGATACCGGCCTCGAATATAATAATATATATCATGAATAATAATGTTGTAACGGGTGCGAATACGTCGGCGTGAGGACGCTCGATGTAAATTGCGCGTAAAATGTACGAATGCGCGAAAGTATAAAATATGCATACAATGTGTAATGCGAGATTAAATAAAGGACAGATATTAAATGAGGCGGGAAATGCGGTCGATGGCAAGTCAATACAATCTAATTCTGGCTTTCCGTGCGTGGCTAATTATTCCAGCGATGAAGATAAGACATTTGGATTATCGTCTTTGCAGAATCGTCAAAGAAACCGGCGGGAATGTAGTTGAATTTCTTCTCGCAAATGGGAAAGAAAAGAAACAATTGCCTCAGTACCGTTGAATCTAACGATTGAAGAGTGAAGAAAAAAGGGATGCTTGAATTCCTAATTCAATCCGTTGATAATGACGAGAATAATTATCGTTAATGCGACATTCGAGCAAACTAATCGCTTGTAGTAAAATGCACCGGGCAACGCTAATGCCGGAACAATTACTTTACCGCGAACGCATGGCTTCAGCCATACAAAGCCATTGTTTTACTCGCGACAAAACGAGAAGCTTCTTGCACGGTTTCTCTGATAATTACGTTTCTTCAAGTACGAGCGATGACCCGGGATCGCGTCAGTCCGGGGTGTTTAAAAAAGTCCGGTAATTGTTTCTTCCCTCGGCGCAATGAACAAAGGGCGACTTGAAAAGGTTTCCCGGTATAACTCGCTTCTTGCATGAAACCCGCCGTATATAAGGTGTTCCAGATTATCGGTGACTTTCTTCCTTCGATTAGCTCGACTTTTAATCTCAGCGAAGTTTCGTTCGCGTCGTCTTTCCCCCGCGCAATTTATTAGAAAAACTTGTATGTTAAATATATCAAACGAATTATTACGTGGCGCTAATTTTAAATCGATGGGAGCGTAATTTGAGGCCGATTCTCTGAAACTTGCACAATTTTTTATCCCTCACGAGTCGAGGGTTGTCGGCGCTTTGCGACACCTTCCGAGAAGATAAACGGCAAGTTTCGTCCGAAAAGTACATGACAAAGAGACATCCGGTATACATCCGGACGCACTCAACGGGGTTGTTTCAGCTAGCGGAATGACTCTGGAAAAGTTCTGATCGATTATGCAGTAACCATTCGCTATTAATATTTATTGCTTTCGCGACTTCGTGCTTTCCACCCTCGTCCCTTCTCAGCCTCGGCGGTGATGATTTATCAGGAAACTTTCGGTTGGCTCGTCTACGCCTCGTCGGAATAATAGACGGCGGTTTAAAGTTCCGACGACACCGTGAACATTTTTATGAACATTGGCACGCTCGCCGGGACGTGCTTTCGATCGCGAAGCGGCGCGATTACGTTTCGCGAGCGTGATCGCACTGCGGCGAAATGGAAGTAATTTTAACGTCTCCGAGAGCGGAACGGGCAACGGGATACGAGAGTGGGAAGAAAGATTCGAGAAGCGGAAACACTTTTTGCATGGCGAATTCAGGACGAGGATCCTCCATCTCTAATCTAACTCACGTGCCAAGGATTTAAAACGATGGCACGTGCGATCGAAAAGCGGGTTAATGTATAAAGCGAATTAATTAAAATAACAATAACAGTAATAATACTCCCCCGAGCCTGTTGATTCCCGATTGGATGCAGGATGCAATCGATCGCGCCGCGTTACGTGCAGCTCGTGACGTTGTCAAACGCAGACGACGGTAGTTCAGTCGATCGAACCCTTTCAGCGTCATTACGCAAAGGTCCAGAAGAAAAATCGACCAATGTAGCCGACACGCTGATAAGCAAAAGATGGAAGAGATTTTGTTTTATCGGCGAGCGCTCTCGCAATTTATGCGTCACTGCGAATTCCATTTATTTTACAATCTGCGCTGACGCTTACAAGATCGGATCGAACGACCGACACTTTAATCAGGATTATTGTAACAGTGCATTATCGTTCATTGGAATTGTTGTTGCTGCAACTATTGTCGCAATTATTGTGACGCTAATATATACCCATACAACACTAAAGCTTGCAACAACATTGCCGCAAGGTTGCAACATTGCATCTTGCAGTGTAATGGTAAATAGATACATTATTTTACAATATTACTTTAGTAATGTTGTAGCAATATTATTTTAAAATATTGATACAATTATGTTTGTAATATGTATATTGTTTCCTCATATCACTTTCATAGTTTACTAGAAATGACAAAGCGCGCGTTTCGCGCGCGCAGTTTGTAGTTCGGCATTGTATATTTTTTAGAATTTGTATACATGCAAAGAGAATTGTATGCGCAACGTCAATTTAAAATAAAAAGTAATTTTTCACTTACTGATACTGATAGAACAGATGCTTTATTTTGCACAAGTAGCAAATAAATAAAAATGTAAGACACTTACCTTACGATTTCTCCGCCGTTGCCCGATGCCTCCCAGAGCTCCTCCTTCTCCTCTCAGATTTCCTCGTTGCACGCACATAACACTCACTCGCGAAAATCATCGATCGCGCGAAATTTTCGGCACTCCCGTATGCGATGCGAAATACCGAGAAACGCACGAAATGTCATTAACAAATAGGTATCGCGTGACTTTCTATCATACAAATTACTCAAATTAACAACTTGCATCTTTGATTCGGAAGAATGGATAAATCACTTTTGAATTGTCGATATAAAAGGCAACACAAGGCATCGGAAGCATAATCTGCGGTAAAGAAGTAGTTATTAGTCCGTAACGAAACGATATTTTACAATCTTTGTCATTTAATCTAATTCTTGAAACGAAATCGATAGATAATTGAAAGCGCGGTGCGTAAAACGAGATGTAACCGCGACAAAATACCACGGCTTACATTTATAATTTAGATGAGTTAGTCTCGTGAAATATCTATACGTTGATAAAGAGCCGTCGCCTCGACGCGCAATTCGTTTCTCATTACAAGTTGTAGAAACTTAATAATTAATCGAGGAACGTTAATTGTTACTAATAAAGGTGTGCAAATCAATAGCGTTTTATCCCTGCGTTCATCGCGATCGAGTCTTGGAGACCGATAACACACAAGTAATACCACGCACGGAGCGACTCACGCCACTGCCTGCCGGCTCGACGTTCGGCGAGCGAGTGCGAGCGCGGCGACCTTCAGGCACATGATGGCACGCAAAAACATCGTACGTCACCGCGCCGAGTGAAAAACAACAAAAAAACGTTAGGAATTCGTTGTCCCGCCTACGAAGTGGAAAATTCCGTACTTAATATTTTACATTACTTTGTTCCGTGACTGTTACTACGTTTTGTCATTCTGCGGACTTATTGGTACCGATTAAATAAACGATTAATTCTGTTCAATCGAGAAAATGTATCGGAACAAAAATCATTGTTACTTAAATTCTAACTACCAAGATTGGAGATTTTACCTCAATATAGTTGGTGTATACAAATGTATATTTCTAAATTGCAAATCTTCATTTACTATGAATTTAAAAGAGAAGTGAAGCACACCGCGCTTCGAGAAAACACATATTATGCATGCATTATATTGCTATGTTGCTGTAATATTACATTGTAATATTTCTGGAGGCGGACATTTTACCGTTGCTGCAAGATTGCAGCAGCGTTGCAGCAACATTTCGCAGCGTTTAGGCAACGTTGCAATCTTGCGATAAATTATTGCTGCAATGTTGCTGAAACTTTGCTGTGCTGTATGGGTACTAATCGTTCAATATCCTAACTATTAACATAGTTTTTGATTTTATATAGTTTTTTTGGAGCCTTGTCTCTTATTCATTAGTTAAGTGCAGTATTTAAAATAACTTATCAAATCGTTCAGCGATTTTATAACACGTGAATTCACTGGCCATAATGATTCCACCTAACGAAAAACCTGTGTTATATGCCTGGAAGCAGCGGCGCGCAGAACAGGTTGGGAAAAAAATATATATATGGATTCACATAGTAATTTAATTGGCTACCTCCAGCTGTGCCAGGACCTAAATGGCGTTTACGTTTGTAACCGAGTTATATCTTAAAAAAGGACCGAGTAAAAATTTAGTTTGTAGCACATTTCAGTATATCCGCGGATAAAAAAAAATCTGTAACGCGAAGCCTCCGGGTGCCCTCGCGGTGTTGTCAACTCATCATTTAGCGTTGTAGTTTAGCGTTTCCCTTGGGGGAGAGTCAAAATAATAAAATTATTCAACCGTTGATGCCGATACAATCCACCTCGCGGGCCTCGGAGCTTGCGGGAGCGCAAGCTGTTTTGTGCTCTCTGGCAATGCCCGGCTGGAAATTACAGGGAAAATGTGTGGCGGTCCTCCCTCTCTTTCTCTCTCCCTAAATTAATGGCGCAATTTCGATGTCCTGCCACGTGACACCGCGGTGTTGCGCACGAGGGATGTTGCCGGCGGCGAATCGAAGACCGAAACAGGAACTGAAAACGTTTGCGGGACCCCCTCTCGTAAAATAGTTGACGGCTGAAATTCCGCGGAGTTCGCCTTACTTACGTTCTCGCGACTAACGCGTCGCCCGTATTTGCCGTTACGCCATTTACCCGATTAGCCGTCGCCCTCAGCTCTCGGAGTAACTCGGTCAGAGATTTTAACGGTGCATTTCTCGCCTGTCCCGGCGAAATCATTAACGTAGCGGTCTTTGTTTTTCTGCGAAAAAGATCAAAGGAATTGTATCGGAGTGAAATAAAGGACAATTGTTATTTCAACGTAGATTGTGAATCTCCAGATATTTTTTTAACTTAATTTATTTTATAATTTGTTTGCACACCCATTGGCAATTTAATTAACTGCTGTTTCCCGTAGCTCTCCTATGAAAGAAATCACGAAATTGATAAAGACCGGCGGGATG